AGAGAGAGAGAGAGAGAGAGAGAGAGAGAATTTTTTAATATTTATTTTTTAGTTTTCGGCGGACACAATATCTTTGTTTGTATGTGGTGCTGAGGATCGTTATGTGGTGCTGAGGATCGAACCCGGGCCGCACACATGCCAGGTGACCGCGCTACTGCTTGAGCCACATCCCCAGCCCCTGGAAAGTTTTTCTTGGCTGCTTCGATTTCATTATAGAAATTAATCTGTTTCTAAGTTTTCTGTGCCTTCCTGGTTCAATTTGGATATATCATATGTCTGTAGGAATTTTTCCATGTCTTCAGGATTTTCTATTTTATCGGAGTATAAATTTTCAAAACAGTTTCTGATGATCCTTTGTATTTCAGTAGTGTCTGTGGTGATCTTTCCTTTTCTATCTTTGAATTTGATAATCTGAGGCTTTTCTATCTTTCTTTTAGTTATTTTGGCCTAATGTTTATCAATTTGTTTTTTCTTTAAAAAATATTATTTTTTGTTTCATTGATCTTTTGTATTTTTTAATCTCAATTTTATTGATTTTTATCTCTGATTTTTAATGATTCTTACTGATTTTGTTTTTGTTTCTTCTTTTTCTAGGACCTTGAGATGTAATATTAGGTTATTTATTTAGTATCTTTCTATTCTTTTAAGTAATGAGCTCAGTGCTATGAACTTTCTTTTTAGAATTGCCTTCATACTGTCCCAAAGATTTTGATATGTTGTATCATTGTTCTCATTTACCTTTAAGGAATTTTTTATTCTCCACTGATTTCTTCTGATGTCTATTCATTGTTTAAGAGTGTATTATTTAATCTCCAGATGTTAGAGTGATTTCTATTTTTTATCTTATCATTGATTTTTAATTTCATTCCATTATAATCTGATAGAATGCAACATATTATCTGTATTTTTTATATTTGCTAAGATTTGCTTTGTGACCCTAGATATGATCTGTCCTAGAAATGTTCCATATGCTGCTGAGAAGAAAGTGAATTCAGTTATTGATGGATGAAATATTCTAAAAATGTCTGCCAGTCCAAATTATTAACTGTACTTTTTAGTTCTATAGAATCTTTGCTTAGTTTTTGTTTGGAAGATCTGTATAGTAATGAGAGAGGTGTGTTAAAGTCACCCAGTATTATTGTATTATGGTCTATTTGATTCTTAATATTGAGAAAGGTGTGTTTGATGTACATAGATGCTCCATTATTTGGGGCATAAATATTTACGATTGTTATATCTTGTTGATATATGATTCCCTTAAGCAGTATTAATCTCTTCTGATTAATTTTTACTTGAATTTTTACTTTATCTGATACAAGAATGGTAACCCCTGCTTGTTTACAAGATCCATTTGAGTGGTATATTTTCCCCATCCTTTTGCTTTCAGTCTGTGGATGTCTTTGCCTGTGAGATGAGTCTCTTGCAGACAGCACATTGTTGGGTCTTATTTTTTAATCCAACGTTTGAACCTGTATTTTGACTGATGAGTTTAGACCACAGACCCTACTGAAGAGTTTATACATTCAATGTTATTATTAAGAAATGATTTTTATTTCCTGCCATTTTGATTTATTTCTAGTGTTTAGATTGGATTTGATTATCCTTTGATTGACTATTCTTAGAGTGTAATGCCTCTTTATGCTGGTTTTCATTTCTTCTTCATGAAATATTGTATTGAGTATGTTTTGCAGTGCAGGCCTTCTAGTTATGAATTCTTACAACTTTTGTTTATCATGGAAGATTTTTATTTCATCTTCAATTTTAAAGCTTAATTTTTCTGGGCATAATATTCTTAGTTTGCATCCATTATGTTTCAGAGCTTGGTATATATTATTCACTTTTAAGGTTGAGAAGAAATCAGTTGAGATCCCACTTGGTTTACTTCTAAATGTGACTAGTCCTTTTTCTCTTTCAGCTTTTAAAATTCTATCCTTATTCTGTATATTAGGTATTTTTATAATAATGTGTCTTAGAGTAGATGTCTTGTGATTTTGTATATTTGGAGTCCTATTGCTTCTTGTATTTGAATTATTTGAATTTCCATTTCAATCTTAAGGTTTGGAAAATTTTCTGATATTACTTCATTGTAAAGATTGTGCATTCCTTTAGTTTGTGGTTCAGAGTCTTCATCTATCCCAATAAATCTTAAATTTGGCCTTTTAATGTTACCCAGTAACATTAAATATTCTGTTCATGGTCTCTTAAAATCTTTACTCTAGGGTTGACTTTATTTTCAGGATAATATACTTTGTCTTTGAGGCCTGAACATCTGTCTGTCCTCAAAATGGTCTAATCTATTGGTGATGCTTTCCATTGAGTATTTAATTTGATTTATTGATTCCTTCATTTTGAGGATTTATGCTTAATTCTTTTTCATACTCTCTCTTTATTGAAGTGATCTTTAATTCCCTTATTTTCTCCTTGATGTTTTAGCTCATAGAACAGTTTAACTATGAATTTCTAAATTTCTTCTCTGACATTTCCTCAACTGTGGTGTCATTGAAGTCTATTGTCAAACATTATGGGCTGGTTTGTTCCCTTGCTTTTTCATATTGTCTACTGATCTATCAGTATAGTTCTGACTTCTTTTAAGTGAAGGACAACTATGTGAGCCTCTTTTTCTTAATAGTCCTGGTTTGGGGGCTGGGGATGTGGCTCAAGCGGTAGCGCACTTGCCTGGCATGTGTGCTGCCCGGGTTCAATCCTCAGCACCACATACAAAAACAAAGATGTTGTGTCCACCAAAAACTAAAAAAATAAATATTAAAATTCTCTCTCTCTCTCTCTCTCTCTCTCTCTCTCTCTCTCTCTCTTAAAAAAAAAAAAGAGTCCTGGGCTGGGTTGATATCTAGATAATGATATTTTAATTCAATGTATGCCTCTGCTGATCCCAATATCAGCTCCATTTTAAGAGATATCACTAAAGAGGCACAGTGGACTAGATAAGGAGAAATAAGGGAATGGAGGAGAACAGGAATAGGAAAGACAGTGGAATGAATCTGACATATATGAATACACCACAGTGAATCTCCTACAAGACAGATCCTAATTCAAATAAGATATACTCCATGTTTGTATATGTATGTTAAAATGTACTCTACTGTCATGTATAACTAAAAAGAACAAACTAAAAAAGAGAGAGAGATACCACTGAGCCCTATTTACAGTAATCACTTCTGAGCCAAGCCTCATACTATTCAACCTTGTAAGAACAAAAACTTAGTCAATTGTTCTCTGTGGTTCCTCAAATTTTGGTATAAACCTATAATAAAGTTCTGGAACAGGTAAAAAAATGGTAGTTAAATTTAGTAAATTAATATAAACTTAAGTGAATGCTAAAAGGAGGTAGGAACAAAGTTTGGACAAATGGGAGAGGGTGAAAGCAGGAGAGAGAGAGAGAGGAAGAAGGGGGGCTATAAAAGGATAATTTACACCAATGTAGAAAGGAAAAATAGATTCATGTGTGTTATTTGAGGTAGTAGTAGATATTGAAAGAGGATGAGTAGGTGGTTAGAGAAGCAGGTATAGACAGACTGCAGTTAGGAAAACAGAGATAGGAAGATTGATTCCAATTAATGCTTTAAACCATTTAATGAATACATTCAAATGGGTTTGAGGTACAACTGTCAGCTATTGGGGGGTTAGTAATTATTCAAGTGAAGGAATTACTTATGTGATCAAGGTTAACATGAGAGTTGTTTATAGTCTCAGAGGGTGCAGTATTGTGAGCTGACTGATTCTAATGTTGCAGAAGTTTAGGATAGTCTCTAAAGTACCTGTGTTTGCTGGTCATCAGTATACCTCTTCCCTTCTGCTAGATTCTTTTAGCAGTAGTGAAGATCCTGCTTGCTGTCTGTGTGTGCAGGAACACTGGTTGTGGGTTTTCCACAGGTGTTCTGTGGTGCAGAAATATTCCCCCGATGCCTCTGCTCTCTGAGGTGTTGTAGTAGAGGGTCTCTAGTGGTTCATTCACCTGGATTCTAGTTTCTGCTACCCCAGGTTGTGAAGGATGGACATTGATTCCCTCTGCTTAGTAAATCTGACACAAGGGACCACAAGTAACCAAACAATGCCCTGTCACTTGCCAGTTGCAATCATGGTTCAGGCTGTGCACCTATTTAGGCTGATATCCTCCCCTTTGAGCTGCATAGCCTCTGGTAATTTCCTCTGGGTCTGCATGTCACTGGGTATTCAGGCAGCTTTCCCTCTGGTGTGGGGCTGTGATCCTAGGAACTATCCCAAGTCTTCCTACAGTGCCTCCCGTCAAGTGCCAGTGGTGGGAAGTGGGGCTGGTGAATCAACTTTCCTTTGTTTGGGGCCAAAGCTGCTTCATCATAGCCTCTGTCTGAGTAGAGGAACCTGCTCAGAGCTTTTTGCCCTTGTCTGGGTTGCAGCAGCTGAGTGGGGCTTGCTGTACCTCCCCAGTCCAGGTCCCTTCCAGCCCACTCCAATCCCCTTGTTCAGGGGAGGGGGAAGGGAGGGGGCTTTAGAGATCTACAACTAGTCATCGTTCTTCCAGAAGTTCTTTCTGGCCAGATTCTTAAGAGGGCCCACTGCAGGGGCCTTCCCTCTGGTTACATTTGCAGCTATCTGGGCAGTGGAATCCCAGTGCAATTTACAAGGGTGACTGGTCTGCTGTGGGCTCCACAAGACAGCTGTAGACTCCTGGCTCAGTTTTCTTTTCACAGTTTGGTTTTAAGCATTTTGTGCTGTTTTAAGGAGCCTTCTGAGTTTTAAATTTTGTCTGTCTTTGCAACGGTTTTTAAGTGGGTGAGCTTAAGAAACTGTCCTCTTCCTCCACCACCACCACCTTTCTCTCTCTGATGCCCGCTCCACAGGAGCAGTTAAGGCGCTCTGAGTTTTGTTTTCTCCTCTGGTAACCTATCTTCTAGTCTCTTCAGATCTCAGACTATGTAGTATTGAGTCTTAGACTCCTCTGGTAACCTATCTTCTAGTCTCTTCAGATCTCAGACTATGTAGTATTGAGTCTTAGAGCGTCTGTTTTGTCACCCGCCTCTCAAGTCCGCCTCCTTTCCGTGTTGTGGTATCAGGACTCACTGCCTACCTCGCTTCTGCCATCTTCCTGAATCATGAGGAAATTTCATTCTTAAAATTTCAAACATTGGAAATTTTTTGCTGTTCAGTTTTGCCCCAATCTATTTTTTTTAAGGAAAATTTGTCAATGGAGAGAATATTGAGGTTTTTTTGAACATAAAAATATATATAATAATTCAGAGGATAGAAGCAAAGGTGGAGCAGACTTCCTGTGTGCCAGCCATGCTCACAGCAATGCTTAGAGTTGATTGATCCTCATTTTACCTACTAGAATTTGAGACAAAGCGATGGAGTGACTTATCTTATGTGACGGTCAGAACTCAAACCCAAGTCTGTCTGACTTGAAAGCAGAGGCTGTCAGTCAGTATACTAGCCTTCCTACCTACAGCTACCTTTTTCTAACACAGGCCAATTAACTCTTTCAGCTGAGAAAAAATTAAGAGAATTGGAAAAAGAATTGGAAAAAAAAGAGGATGGAGATGCAGTTAATGAAGAAGGTAAAGAAATCTGTTGCCACTGTTACTGACTACATCTTTCCTAATGGAAGTAGATTAGCTGATAAAATATCTTATTCTTTTGCTGCAGCACACGGTCAAGAATCTCAAACAAGYACTTCTTTAGAGGACACTGAAGAAGCCAAAAGAAAGTCAGACAATACCCTTGGTAATTTATTTTCTTATATTGGTAAGGATGGTAATAAAGTAAACTGCTAATGCCATGTTTATTGATCTTACTTCCATGTATCTTATTTCTTTAGTTGTTGGTGGACCTTTATTTTATTTATTTGTATGTGGTGCTGAGAATCAAACCCAGTGCCTCATGTATGCTAGGCAAGCACTCCACCACTGAGCTCAATCCTAGCCCTTCCATTTATCTTCGCTCATACTTAATATCGAAGCTTAAAATCACCACAAAAATTGAAAACTTCAAAAGAAATAAAAATTAGCATCTCTCTTACAGTTAAGCTGAACAGCTACAGGATGAAAAATAGATTGACTAGAATGAATAGGAAAACATAGAAGATGGGAAGATAATATAAGTAGAGATMAAAGAAAAATGTTTAATATTTCCAACCATTATATAATCATTATTGTATAATTATAAATTTTTCTTAAAAGCTCTATACTTCCTTTAATGCATTGGAATCAGAGCATCAGAAACACATAATTTGGGTTGTAAAATTTTATCTTTATCTATTGTGCTATTTGCCCTTACACAATTTTTCTGTTCATATTTTAACAGAGAGCATATAGYATTATGTTACATAACATTATACGATTATAATATAACTATAATTTTATAATTTATAATATTATAATTATAACTATATGTAATTATATTATAACTATATGTAACTATATATTACAAACTGCTTTTGCCTTTTTTGACTTAAGGTGTATAATTTAATTATATTATTTCATTGGAAAATACTTTAACCTTCACTTAAAATTACTGCACAATATGAATAGGTAGTAGTTTTAATCAGTTCTTTATGTTGGAAATTTAAGTTACTTTTCTTTTTTTGTGCTACTATAAATTATGTTTCAACAACTTTTTTAATGTAAAGATTTATCTGCATGTTAATATAAATGGAATCACTAACTAAATGAATTTAGAGCTATACACAGAGTCAAAGTCTTTTTTACATAAAAGTTGTTACAAGTTATGTTCTCAGTAATATACAAAATATGTATCATTGGCTCCTCTTACTGACTCCTACTAAAGATTTTCTCTGAAATGTTATTTTAATTTTTACTTCTGAAGTTTATTATTTTGATATTTGTTTACCATTTGTGTCTTTTCTGAGGTGACCATTTTTGTTTTTTGATCTTTTTTTCTAAATTATTGAATCAATCATATGGTCTTTGTATAAACTTTCTATATTAGTCTCTTATTTTTTATATTTTTTCCAATTTTTGAAGTTTATCTGCTGCTTTTGAAGTACATAGAGGTATTTTTCATAGTTTTTGCAATCAATTCATTGTTTTTCCATTGTTGATTTCTTTCTTTACTTTTAGACATAAACTGTCTTCCTCTCAACCAGAGATAATGGGTGTGTGGGGGTGGGTGTTTGTGTGTGTGTGTATGTGTGTGTGTGTGTGTGTGTGTGTGTGTTCTTACATTCCGGTGGTTTTTTGTGGTTGTTGTACTGGTCCAACTTTTTTGTAGTTGGTCTTTGAGTGCATCTGTAATTTGTTTTGTTTTAGAATGTAGAGCTGTTTTTGCTTGTTGGTTTAGTTCCTCCTAATGATTCAGCATGTATTTTCCTGCTGTTTATTTCAATCCTATTAGGAATTAAACTGGGCAGTGTCAGAAGCTTGTGTATGGCACTCCATCTCTCTGACACATACACACAGCCTTCACAGAAGGCAGCCCCATACATTCAAATGTTGGCTCTCAAGTGGCAGCTGGGAGCCCCACCTCTGCTGCTATGAAGCCCCCAGCACCAGTCAACAAAGAGAGCCATCCCCTGGACAGCCTGTTYCCTCTCTTAGGGAGGTATTCTAGTCTAGAAGCAGGGATCAGGGCCTGACCAGTGAGGCACGGACACTAGTCCTGCCAGTGTACATCAATACAAAGGCTCCTCCTTTTCTTTTTTCTTTTTTCTTTTCTTTTTTTTTTTTTTTTTTTTTTTTTTTGCCTCATGTCTCTGAATTAAGCACAGCCTCTTGGAGATAAGAGATCGTTAGTCACCTCAGAAAGGGCACTTTTTTTTTTCAATTTTGATACAGTGGCATTATATGAAACTAAAATGACTACTAGTTTTGCTGCAGGTTAGGTTATTATCTTTATTTGCCCTCCTGACATATATGTTTACCCATTTGAATTAAAAATTAAAATTCAGGACTGTACATCTTGGGTTCCTGGACCCATATCACAAGCTCTCCTTGGGAATCCACCTATGTTTTTTCATTTAATACTGTTCTTTTGTTGTTAACAATGTTTTATTCACAGATGAGAAAGAAATCAATGGAACATCTTCAGAGCAAAGGCATTCTCAAGATCCTATTCAAAATCAAGATTTTAATTTAGACTCAGGTAAGTAATATGTGGGTAATTTGGTTCTCTTAGATTGTGGTCCTTAAAAATACAAATACCTCCTTCAGAATTTGGGAGAAATGTGTGATTTTTGAAAAAAAAACAATATTACCCAACTTACTCCATGTATTATGAACAGTTGCACATACAGAAACATGGGAAAATAGCATATGATAGGTGCTCTTGGTGAAAAGAGTATTGGGAAGATACTCTTCTGACATGTAGCTGTCATACTAGTTCACAGGATGGCTGCTGAAGCAGGTTAAAAGCAAAGGACAAAATCTGGCACTTTACAAACCATCTGTATTAATCCATCTGAATTAACCCTCTTAAAAAGTTGATAGGAAATTTGCAAAAAAAAAAAATATATATATATATATATGTGTGTGTGTGTGTGTGTGTGTGTGTGTGTGTAGTACTTTCAACTTTTTGACCATCCAAGCTATAAGGAAAGTTGGGAGATGTAGTTTCTCATCTAGGCACACTGTTGGCCTTCACTGAATCAGGGTTACATTACTAAAGAATAGAAGAATGGATATTGAGTGAACAACTAACAGCTTGTACATTGAGCATCTTTGCCTAGCTATTTTTGACTCACTATGCTCCCCTCTCCCATGACTGATTCCTCAGAAACTCTCTTGCCCTCCCAGAGGACACTTCAATGCAAGGAGAGCAACAGACAGCTGCTCTTTGAAGGCCATTTTGGGGGTTTTCTGGGCTAATATCAACTGGACTCTGGACAGAGTCCCAGTGGCTAGATCCCTGGGACAGCAGCTGAAGAACATGACTGGAAAGGCAGAGGTAGGGGAGTCAGGTGGAGCCGCCATAGTCCTGTCTCACTGCAGGAATGGATGAACATTTAAATGGGTGCAGCCTAAGTATAGAGAGGCACTTCCACAACAAACAAGACCAAGAATCAAGTATAACACTTGAAAAGCAAGCCTGTGCCCCTCTTTTCCCAATTCCCTACAACTTGCTTGCTTCCTGTCCCCTTACCATCTCTTCTAATTTCATGCCTGTAACTGGAAGCATTCATCTTGTTTTCTGACTCTGATGCTTGTGCTTAGCTTGACTCCTAGAATCCTCTGGTCCTTATGTCTCCTCTCCAGCTTCCTTAGCTTTGCCTCTTACTTGACATGACTTTCTTCTTGCCTCGTGAGCTCTTATTCTGATGCACAAACTATAAGACACTGTTCTGAGAGTTCATGATTCTGTGATTCGTCACTTAATATCTCTTCTCCTTATACTTCTCCCTTCTTCCAGCATGTGCAATTATATAAAGATAGTAAATTCTTGGATCAAGTAATAACAACCATGTTTCATTCTTCACTAAAAGTACTAATGGCTTTAATTTATTGACTTATTTTACTTCATTCACAATAGAAGATTCAATTGAAGAGGTAACTGCAGATCATCCAGCAGTTATTTCCATGCTTGAAGAGAGTCTAAAAGCAACATCGGATATGAACTTTGAAAATCCCTATGAAAAGCATGCTGAAATCTTGGAGGAAATCCTCAAAGAAGTAATAATTCAATCTGTTAATTTTTATCATTGACTTAACTATAACTAGGAAAATGTCCCTCTAGTGTGTTTTAGTCTTATTTGACAGTATTTAAAGGTGTAGACTCGTGAACATTTTGTAGTCAACATTATTATATGTAAAGTAGTACTGATGCTCTTTGGTAAATATTCAATTATTTTAAAAAGTGTGACCTAATTTTATAGCTTCAAAATTAATTCATTAACTTGGATTGTCCTTGATTCAGTTCAGTTGGCTAAAAGATGGTGCATATGAAACCAGTGCCAAGATTAGATATTTCATCTATGAGTTAACTAGTCATAGATTTAGACAAAGTTTGCTCCAGGGCTAACTAATTTTCATCCAACCACCCTGAACATGTGTTCATGGAGAAGATTGGTTGACATGCATATAATTTTTCAGTCCAACAGACAGAGGTGGGAAGAAAGCCTCAAATTCTGTGTCATATTAATAGTAAATCAGAAGGCTTATCTTTCATTTATAAAGGACAGAATATTTGTAAGGGTCTGGTTTTGGACTGAGATCTTGCATAAAGATTTGGAGCAATAGTCAAAGACACAATAAAGCAGATTTAGGGCTCTCAATGTACTTCTGAATTCTCTGTGATTAAACTTAAATTATTAGGTGGTGTCATGAGTGAGCTATGTCATTAACATAGGCCAAAAAAATCTGTGTCTTTCCACACTGTCCAGTTATGGGGTGCTCCTCCTAGTATGAGCCTTGAGTAAAGGGCTTTCTTATTTGGTCTGGTGTGTTTGATAAGCTCATGGCCAGTTTTTTTCTGATATGAATTTGATATGCCCATGCATCGTGTGCTTCTGATTAATTCCATTAAATTCACAGTTCACCATTTTTATTAGCAAGATGAATTTATTTATCAATTTGTGCCTTATGGTTGTGCTAGACAGATGGTGGAAACCTTCCTTAGAATTTCATATCCTGAAGAATTTTAGCATGTGTGGCTAAGAAGAGAAATGTGAGACTCCAAATCTGGAAACTCTGCTCCTGGGGGAAGGGAACTAGAAGTTCACCTGGGGAGATGGTCCCTGCTAGAAGGTTTCCACCTTCTCTCACAATTATCCAACGGGGGATTTCCCTTGCATACATTTCTGAACTAAAGCTCTTACTACTGATACATCCAAAATTTGCTTCCCCACCCCACCTCGAGCACCCCCCATCCGCCAAACCTTTCCTGGGCTCAATTTTGAACTTTCCTGTACTTGAATAGCTTGAGCTACTTCAGTGATAGCAGAACCTCCCCTGTCAACCACCTGTCTCCTTGAAACCAGTGAACAAGCCAATAGTCTTTCCTTTCCCTTCCTTTGCTCCACTGGTTTTTGGTAAGTGATAATTTTCCACCTGCAGCAGAATCATTTGGAACAAATTAAGGTCAGAAAGACAACTCCTGCAGTCAGCCCTGCCACACAAACTTCTCTCAAAAAGGAGTTCAGAGAGGCTGGCTGAATGACAATGGAAAAAATACAGCAAGAATAACACAAATGATTATCACAATAAGTCATTTTATCACATTAAGAACAGCAGAATGTCTTTTTAACCTGATAAAGAAGGTCTAGTTTAGTATCACATTAAATTTAGTGATCTATGGAAATTTATAACAATCTTATAATAATTTGTAATAAATAAGAGAAATAACTATTGGAACAGGGGAGAAATATGATCATTTTTTGCAGTTGATTGTTTTTATTCAAAAAATATCTAAGAAAATCTAAAAACAATTAGAGCTAATAAGCATGTTCAGAAATAAGGTAGCCAAATGAATTTTTAAAACTCCACACAAGACAGGAAAATAAATGTAAAATAGCTAATAATGAGCTTGAAATAAAGATGAGAGAGCCACATGAATGAAAGTATTACACTTTAAATGGGAACATAAGCAGATGTCAACACCTAGAGACATAACAACTTCTTGTATGTAAAGACAAAATCTTATTTTAAAAAATCTTTCTCAATTTATACATTTGATGCATTTTTGTAAAGAACTAAAAATATTTTAATGCCTTCAAAATTCTAATACATACCATTTGATGCATTTGTAATAAAAAACTCAAAAAACATTTTTTTAAACAAACTTTAATGTTCCTGTGGAAGAACCAATAGCTGAGATTAGGTAAGAGCAGTTTGGCAAAGAAGTATAAGAGACCCTTGCTCTACTAGCTACTAAAATATGTCCTAATACTATTTGCTCATCATACAAGAATCAACAGAAACACAGAGAAGCTTCAGGAATAGACCTCAGTATAGATAAAACATTAGCATGTGCTGAAGGGATTGATAAATTCAGTCAATTCAGTGTTGATAAAGTTAGCTTTGGTTGGGGGGACTTAGATTCTCATCTTATATGAAAATAAAAATAATAACCCCATAGCTAAATGTTAAAATGGCATTTTTTTAAAAACTAGAAGAAAGTATAGTACCATTGAAATGACCTTAGAAAGGTCAAATATTGTGTTAGACTTTTATCACTGTAACAAATACCTTGAATAACTTATAAAGAGAAATGTTTTGTTTTGGACTCACAGTTTGGGAGGCTTCAGTCCAAGATYAGTTGGCCCATGTTTCTTTGGGTACTATGGTTAGGAAGGAAATCATGAAGAGAAGGATGAGTGTGTAGCAGAGCAAATATGTTCACCTTATGACCAGGAAGCAAAAGGGAGAAAGAAGACAGAGTGACTTCCAACTAGCCCCACCTCTTATAGTTTCCACCACCTCTTAATAGCACCAAGTGGGGGACCAAACCTTTAGCATATGGGCCTTTGGAGTACATTCCAGATCCAATATCTACCAAGAACTCTAGGCAACTACAATAGAAGAAGTCTTTAGAGAAAATCTCAATAGAGAGGCTACTTAATAATGAGTGTCTCAGGCTAGGGACATAGCCCAGTGACAGAGCACTTATCTAGCATGCAAGAGACCCTGGATTTGATCCTCAGCAATGCAAAAAGGGGAGATTATTTTGAGATCCACAAAATGATCTATCAAGGTATATATAATCTTTCTATAAGGAAATCGTGGCCAGGCATGGTGGTGAAAGCACTCACCCTGGAATCCAAGCAGCTCTGGGAGGCTGAAGCAAGAGGATCAAAGCCAGCCTCAACAACTTAGCAAGGCCCTAATCAACTCAGAGAGACCCTGCCTCTAAATAAAATATTAAAAAGAGCTGGGATATGGCTCAGTGATTAAGTACCCCTGGGTTCTAAAAATAAAATGAAATCATGAAAATCAAAATTTTAAGGCAAAAGTGAAACTGGGAAAGATAAAATAAATATAAAATTAATTTCTTATAAATCAATGGGAAAATCTATTACCGCAATATAAAAGCAAGCCAGGATTATTTTCATTTTAAAAGAAGAAATGCAAATGGTTAGTTAAACATTTATAATGGTTGTTTCAATAAAAATATGAAAATTAAAACCATAAGATATCATTTCTCACCTATTAAATTGACAGTGTTTTTTAAAAACAATACTTGTGAAGTGGTTATGCTATAGTTATTTTCAAACTCTGTTAGAAAGAGTAAAAATTGATATAGATGTTTTTGGCAGTACATATGAAAAGTCTTTACAATATGCAATCTTTTTGATCTTAAAATCATGTTTCCTAGGAAGCTAACCTGAAGCAATACATAATATTTAAAGGTTTTATATAAATATGTTCATCACAATGTTATAAAAATATGAAAGATTTAATATATAAAGATATTCATCACAGTATTACAATAAAAGTACAAGTGATGAATATTTAATAGTAAGGAAATGTTTAAGCAAAGTAAGATTTATTCATGTACTAAAATACTATAAAGCCTTTTTTTTCAAAAAAAAGTTGAAAGAACAGAAAAATTATGTTCTATCTCAATGTGTTTTAATTTTGTATCTTCTAAACTTGCACAGTAAAATCTTATTAGTCATTTTTGTTTCTTCTTTGTTGCTTTTCCTTTTGATTCCTAATCCTTTCATCTTAACCATTTCTAAGTGTTTGAAATTCTTTTTCTTTCAAAACACTGGTTACTCAGATAAAATTTCAAAAAAWAATAATAATAATTTTGGATGCTCATGGCCCCTTGACATTTCTTCCCCTTTGATTTCTAATATTCCATGATACCTGATGGCACACAAGCTGGTTTAGAGTTCTCAGAGTTGTGCATTCACAGTTACACGTTACTAATTTTCATATTTGTGTTGAAGCTATTGCTACTGGAACAGGGAGGTGAGAAGTTAGCAGAACTCCCTAATTAGCACCTACAATATTTGTTCTGACCCATTTCCTTCCTACTGCTTTCAGAAACCATCTCCATAAATGTCCCCTCTCACAGTGAAGGGTGTAAAGCAGAGGGTGCTGGTCTAGGACCTTGCTACTCAAAGAGTGGTGCATATACCATCATCTCCAGGAGCATGTTAGAAATGCAGACTCAGGCCCACCCAGGCCTTCTGATAAGGATTTGTATTCTATGATATTGAACAATATATAGCAAAAAATGTATTATTGTTTATTTAATAAAGGCTTTTGCTTCCCATTCTTAACTCTTAAAACTTACAATTTTATTGCTTTAAAATTGTTTCTCTTTTAAAATTAATATATTCTTTTCTTTTTTCTTCTCAAAGTCAGAACTCAAAACATATTTGTTTGAGATCCACAAAATGATCTATCAAGATAGAATCCTCGACTTGTCAAACTATCATGGTAATATCAGTGTGCAATTTTTCACAGGTGATGGAAGAAAATAAAGATAGGTTTTCTGGAGCCCCCCAAAATGGAGGATGGATCTTGGGCAACTGCCCTCTTATAAAGGAACTGTGGATTGCCTTAACTGATAGAGGAATTTTACCTGATTTGGTAATCCTTTTATCAGATACAGAAAACAATGGTTGGTAAATATTTATCATGTAAATTTGAAAGTGGAAATTTATTGCTGATAATAGTTTTGTTTAAAATACAGAATGGAGAACTTTCCATTCTTCTTAAGTATAAATACTGCCCCAGCAATCCCTGCAGGAACTACTGATGCACAAAATAAGGTTTCCATCCACCAAGAAGATGACCTGGGATGATGTGCTGGCTTGCTGAACATTCCAGCAGGCCCTCGTAATTGTAACTGTTCTTTAGAGCTAACAATTCAACACCCCCTTTAAATCAGCAGCTACAACTTCTAAGTGAATGATATGTAAGACTGAGGGCAATTAGCTACATAAATATGTTAATTTTTCATCATTCTGTCACTTTGCCTCTAAAGAAAATAGGTATATTTGAAAGGAGAATTTCCAGGGGGAAAAATGTAATATAAATTTTTTCATGTTTTAATGATTTATACCATATTAATATATACCTTTTTAAAACATACTAAGACAGTCTTTTATAATCTAAGTTCAAAAAAAAATTTTTTTAAAGAATCTAAGTTCTCTTTAGATAAATCTTTAAAGGAAAATATATTTGGATATAGGCAGAAATCACTTTTTGTTGTTAATTTCCAAAATGTATTTTACTCTATGCAGCTTCAAAATTAATATTATTCTCTTTATATTTCAGGAAATTTTTTACTTAACAGAATATATCGAAGGCATAAATCTGAAATCAATGCTAAGATTTTAGAAAGATTATTAGATGAACTGCAAAAGAAAAAGCAGGAAGAAGCAGCAGAAAGGTAAAGTATCTGTCTAGAATGATGAAACAGGTCAATGTATCCATTGTAGCTGCATTTTCTTACAATCTACACTTGTGAAATATTTCTAACATCAAAAAGATAGTCTCATAATTAGATCGGATTCTAATTAATTCTGAGAAAAACAGTGATTTTGCAAATACTTTCAGAATTTCTAAAGAACACAGTTGTGAACGTTTTTGCAGCCCATAGCAAACTTAATCAATTATCCACTCTCAAAAGATGCTTTAAAACAATGAGCACAGATATGTGTACACACACACGCACACACACACACACACACACACCCTACAGAGAGATATTATGATATTTGTCTCTGCCTTAGTTTTGCTAACAAGTATCTACAAACTGAAGCAATTATCCACTCTCAAAAGATGCTTTAAAACAATGAGCACAGATATGTGTACACACACACACACACACACACACACACCCTACAGAGAGATATTATGATATTTGTCTCTGCCTTAGTTTTGCTAACAAGTATCTACAAACTGAAGCAATAATTTGATAGGAAGTAAACAAATATATTCTTTGTGTGATGTGTCTAAATTCCAAAGCCTGAAAACTACATAAGGAAAAATAAGAACTAGTTATTTACATTTGACCATTTGACAGTTTTAACATCAAGGGCTTGTTCTTTTTTTAAAGTCTTTTTTTTTTTTTTTAGCTGTGGATGAACCTTTATTTTTATTTATTTATTTTTATATGTTGCTGAGAACCCAACCCAGTGCCTCACACTTGCCAGGCAAGCACTCTACCACTGAGTCACAACCCCAGCCCTGAGGGCTTATTCTTGTATCTGGGTATAATGGAAGTTTTAAAAAGTATGAATACATATTTATCTGTTCATAGCTAGGATCAAGATTAAACTTCAACATATGAAGTTCCTCGGGTTGAGGAATAAAATTTAAAAAGAAACAGTGACTTAATTTGTTAATTGTTCTTCTTTGATAAACATGCTCTTCAAATACTAAATTTCAGTTTGTACCTGAAGCAATAAGACATAGACATTTAAGCGTACATTTCTATTTATTAATGATGGCACCTGTAGGAACATTCTCAAATATTTTCTTTTTCCTTTTCAGATATTAGCAATTAGATCTTGGATATAGGAGAGCTCATCAAACTCTAAATTTAAATTATAAAGATAGGAGGTGGGTAATTGTATAGGGTAGTAAACTGACTTGTGTAGCTCAGAAGAGGTATTTTTTTTTAAATGTATATTCTTCATCTAAGTTAGTTATTCCCTTAGGAACTTGACCCCAAGCTCCATGAAGTATAATTTAGTTGAATTAATGAATAATAAAATCATTGTTCTATATATTGACTAAAAAGTATTACTAGTTCAAAAAATAATTACAAATTTATTAGATTTACTTTTAGCTTTCAAAACTTTTATGGCAAATGGAGCAATAATCTGCTAATATTTAAGGAACCACTTAATTTTTTTTTAGTATATGAGAAATAGTTCAATATTTGGGAACAGATGAAATCTTAATGTAAGAGTAAACCAAAGCTCATGTGATTTATAGACTGAAAGTCTGATAATTTAAAATAGATATAAAATAAATATATGTAATTTTTTTAAAAAGAGAAAGATACCTTCCCCTGTTTCTTCCAACTATGCTTTCACTCTCTCCTTACCAGAGGGAATTTTCTAAGTTATTTTTATCTTCAATTTTTAATTCTTTTGATTCCAAATTTTCACATATTTATAAACTTCTTAAATGTCAAATACCTGCCCAGACTTTCCTAGTTGTGTATGTGTATATGTATATTATATGTTGATCATACAAATGTGTTAGATGCACATAATCACATTATTGATTATATATATGTATTTTATGTGAATGCATGCTGGGCATTCACAAGACCAGCGTTTAATATATATGATTATATGTTGATTTTTAAAATTTAATCATGAGTATTTGAAAGCAGACTTTTTTCCAAATACTGTACAATGAAAACTAACACCATTGAAAAGGGGGGAAATGCTTAGAGACTTCAGTTAATGGCTTTAAAATTGGTTAGAAAAAAAGATAAATCTAAAGGGAAGAGAGAAGGAATGGGAATAGGAAAGACAGTAGAATGAATCTGACATAACTTTTTTTAATTGATTTTATTTTTTAAATACATGACAGCAGAATGCATTACAATTCTTATTACATATATAGAGCACAATATTTCATATCTCCGGTTGAAGACACCAATTCGTGTCTTCATACATGTACTTTGGATAATGATGTCTGTCACATTCCACCATCATTGCTAACCCCTGCCACCTCTCCTCTGCCCTATCTAGAATTCATCTTTTCCTCCCRTGCTCCCCCTCCCTACCCCACTACGAGTCAGTCACCTTATATCAGAGAAAATATTCAGCATTCGTCTTTTTGAGATTCTCTAACTTCACTTAGCATTATCTTCTCCAACTCCATCTCTACTCTTATATATATCTAAAAAAGAACATTTTTTTTAAAAAAAAAGATAAATCTAATAGGATTAAGAATTAGATCTTGGGTCAGATATCTAAAATCATGCTAAATTCTGCAATTTTTCCAGCATCTATTTCCAAATTTGCTAGTCAAATTGCAAGATAATTTCTGTCATCATCATTTATCTTTTGATTGTATTTACAAATGGTTTTATAGAAATTTTTAATAACAAGCAAAATTCTTCCTCATTCTGGCAAGGCCTAAGATTCTTAGCAGCAACGTAGTTTAACCAGGCTTGAGATAAGGAAGATCTCAAAAAGAATCCTGTTGAACTAAGTAGAACAAATGACTGCCCCTTCATGGACAGTCAATAGGAAAGGAGTTCAGAAAGAGGGCTTTATAGCTCACAGACCTACGAACAGAGAATTCAAAATTACACCAAGACTTTTGGCTGGAACACAGGATTTAGAATATAATGAAAGAACATCRTCCACAACAGAAAGCAGACCTGTTGGGAAAAGAGGAGTAATATCTTCTGAAGAGAATAAATGTAATTAATTTTCAAAGGAAGGACAAATGGACACAAAGAACAACCAAATAAAAGAGTAATGATAGGCCTTAGGGAAGCTGTGGCTCCAGCCCTTGCTACTGATAGGAATGAACTCTTCTTAACTTGTCCCCAGTTGGTGAATACTTGGTATCATATTTTGATACAATTTTTAAAAGATGCAATCAACATGCTTATGTTTCCTTCTGCAGTAGCATGCCTATGTTTAAATACCTAGACAGAGAACCTCTAGGTCAAAAGTTTACAAATTTTTTTATTTTTAATAAATATTTCATTTCTTCACCATTTTACTAACTTTTCTTTTATCTATTTTCACCATTGTTAAGGCAGAATTAGTGCTTTGACCTTAATGAAATAGATTTCCTCCAGATATTTAAGTTTCCATATTCTAGATTTCTAAATTTCACCATTACTGGGGCAGAAGATCTAGCTCAGTGGTAGAGCACCTGTCTGGCATGGCCTGGGTTCAAACCCCATACCAAAAAATGGTGTTAAAAAAAGAAAACAATTAGCTTTTTTTCCTGATGAAAAAGATAAACTTGCAACTTACTTCTATTTATTCAGTGCAGAAAATTTTTAAATGCAAAAAATTAAAGAAAATTTTAAACTCTAATGCCACTACCCAGAGATAGTTATTGTTAACAGTTTATTTTCTTCTAGTCTTTTTGTCCTCATWTATATACATCTTAAATATAAAATTAAAATCATACTACACATTGTTTTATATTCTCCTTTTTTTCCACTTAGCATTATATTGTGAAAATTTTTCATTTAATCAGATAAAAATGTTACAAATCCTCCCATTTGCCTTTGAACTTACAGTTAAGTAGTCCTTTRTTACTTTTGATAAGTTTCCTAGTTACTAGCCAAAGTTATTTAATTTTGTATTTTATTTTTATTTTTTTATTGGTTGTTCACAACATTACAAAGCTCTTGACATATCATATTTCATACATTAGATTCAAGTGGGTTATGAACTCCCAATTTTTACCCCAAATGCA